ATTCAGTCACTAAGAAAACACTTATTAGGTGCCTACAAAGTGTGCAAGACACTTTGCTAGATGCTAATACTGCAAAGAGGAAGAATGGCAAAGTCCCTGCATTCAAGGTTTTTGCATTCTTCTGTGGAGATAGAACAAATGTATACACAGATAAATAAATTCACATTCGCATGTGTTGGGGCAAAAGAGAAAGCTACACTACCTATTTAGGAAAAGGTAAGGAGGGAGAGAACATTTTCCTCAGAAGGGAAATGAGGGAAGGCTTCAGGAGGAGATGCTGTCTAAGCTTAGCCTTGCAGGAGAAGAATTCTGAAATGCAGAGACAATGTGTGAGAGCAATCCAAGCATGGGGGAAGACCCCGCCTAAAAGCATGGAGGCAAGAAATGGTGTATGTATTTTAAGGAACAGCTAGTAGTCTAATTCATAACATAGAAGACACGAAGGGGAGTGATGTGAAATAAGTATGAATGGGGAGGTTAGAGTCATATTGTGAAGGTGCTTAAGTGCCAAGCTACTGAGCTTGTATTTTATCCTAATGGGAATAAAGAATAACTGAAGGTTTGTTTGTTTTGTGTTTTTTTAAAGAGTGATAGGGTTTGATCCATGTCTTAATAAGATTTACTTTTATGGAGGATGGATTGGAGAAAAGGAGAAATGTTAGATAGTGAGATCAATTAGAGTATACTGTAATAGTCTAGCTGAGAGGTAAGAAGGTCCTGAACCAGGCTGGTGGCAATTTCAGTGACTGTTCTTATAGTCTATCACCTTTAGTCTGGCTTCATTCCCTTCCCTTCATATTCTTGACCCCAAAGTTAACCAGTTCATCAAAACGCTGTCCTTCACCCTTGAGTGCTTTATCTTCTTATGCTTCTTTTGTTCATATCTTGCTAATCAGCTCTGCACCACCCCTACCTGAAATCCCTGAAAGGGGTGGATGTGAGAGATAATTGTGAGGGTAGAATCAACAGGACTTGGCACCCAATTGGATGTGCAGGGTTGAAGAAGAGGAAAGACCCAAAGATGACTTCAAGATTTCATGTTAGGATGACCAGAATGCTTACATCAACAGAAAAAGCGAAATTAGGGGAAGGGGCTAGGTTCAATTCATTTCTGGTTATATTGAATTTGAGGTACAGGCAAGAAATCCAGGTGGAGATTAGCAGAAGATAGAGATGTGGGACTGAAGTTCTGTGATGAAATTTGGGTCAGATGTGTAGACGTGAAAGTCATTTGTGTAGAAGATAATGGAATCCATGGAATGATAGATTTCTGTGATTTCTACTTTTACCTGGTAGAAAGAATGAATGAATGAATGAAAGAATGAGATGAAAAAATATTGTTTACTATGTACAAAGTACCATGCTAAGTCCTAGGATTAGAAATAAAAAATCAAGACTGAAATGACTTTCATGGAGCTCATATCTTAAGAAGGGAAGACTATACATTTAGCAGCTTTTTTCTCTGAGTCAGATGAAGGGAATACAGTAGCAAAAAAGATGATCATGTACATATTTTCATTAATGTCATTCCCAGTAAGAGAACCATACTGATTTCTGATATTGAACCTTTGACAGTGACAAGGCCTTTAGTAGTGAGAACTTTCTTTTCCAAGTCTTCAGTAACTGTGGCTGTTGATGAAGTTGGAAAGAGGGGGACTAGTACCTGCAGATGAATTTGCTAGGTCACGTTTCCACAAGAGATACCCCCTTAGAGAAAGATGATGAATCAGTGAAGGAGACTGAGAAGGAATACTCATTGGAGCGGAAATAAAGAGAGTAGTGTTACCTGAAGCTAAGTCACTAACCAAGAGAAGAGTAGTGGTCAACAGTGTTGACAATTCCAAAAAGGTCAAGAAGAACACGGACTGAGAAGACCATTGAATTTATTACATTTCTCTTTGTATCCCCAGAGCTTAGAATAGTTTAACCCATATCTGACACTTAATAAATGTTCATTTATTTATTGATTACAGGATAATCAACAAAAATATATAAGGATAAAGGCAGGGCTTTGGTAGAATGGAAGACTGAACCAAGTGCTGAACTCATTAAGGGAGCAAAGAGGTCAGTAGGTGATAGCAGCAAGATCTGGATTGAGTGATATAATCAGATAAAATGAACTTCAAAGGAAGAGAGGTGGTTGCAAGTGAGATTAGCAGAAAGAATTTCTAGAAAAATCTTCTGGCTCTGTAAGAGTGTAGGAGGAGTATGACATTTGGAGAAGCTCATAGATTTAACAAACTCACATTCCAATGTAGTATAATGATCTGGGTCCTTGTCCCAGATCTATGTTGACTATGAAAAGGTGACTTTATCTCTCTGGGAGTCAGTTTCCTTATTTGGAAAATGGGCAGGCTGGACCATCAGCTATAAATTTTTTCACCTACTCCTAGTTCAGTGAATGTCTTGTATATAGCAGGTGCTCACAAAATATTTGATAGTGAATTCAGTAAGTATTTATTATGCACTTTCATAGGAAAAGCAAACAATTAAATGTTATTTACAAAATGTTAACACATTTATATTTTCATTAGCTTTGTAATTATGTAATGTTATTATGAGTATGATAAATCTGTTATGAAAAATAACTTTTTTTATTATTTTTAACTTTTCTGACAGAAATAATTGGAAAAAAATCCAAAAATAATTATACTTTATTGTGCTTTTGAATAGTGAATATCTCTCTCCTTTTCTTCCTTCCTTCTTTTTTCCCTTCCTTCTTCACCTCCTCCCTTCCCTTCTTACCTTCCCTCTCTTCTTTCTCTCCTTCTCTTTCCCTCCCTAACCCTTTCCTTCAATGTAGGAAAACAGAATATTGTTGTCTATTAGAGGTCCTTAGGGGACTTACTTTAATGAATGGATGGAAATGAATTTAAATTAGCATATCAATTTGTATATAAATAAGTGCTTCTAAAAGTCTTTAAAGATGCCCATAAATGCCCATAAATAGTGTATACATCTCTCCTTTCAATCTTGGTTACATTATCAATTGCTCAACAAAATATCTTTTTCATAGCTACAAATAGAACCCTATATTCAGGAATAATATAACACTAAAATCTCCAGATCTTCCGACAGAACACTAAATGCCTCCATTGTCCTGTGTTTGTGAAATTTTTTTGTTCTTTTATTTCTTTGGGATCCTTTTTTTTTTTGTAACTCAAGGGTAAAACTTTATATTAATCCTTTCAGATTTCATCTTGTTAGATTTCATTACGATGTTCTACCTTGTTGAGATTCTATCACTCTAGCTTTACATAATCTTCAAGAATAATAGAATTTCAGATTCAGAAGGGCACTTCGAGATGAAGTCAGTCAACACCGTCATTTTGCATTTGAGGAAATCAAAGCCCAGAGACTCACAGAGGATGGTGTTTTAGAACTGAAGTCCTCCTCCTGGTTCCTCTGTTTCCAAATCCAATGATTCTTCTACATTGCCAGTTGAAGCTGAAAGAGGTTTGCTGTATGATTGTCGGTTGATACATTGGTATCACCGTGGGATCTAAAAACTGTTTGATGTTTAGAGATGACTTAATGCTAAAAAAAAAAAAACAATAAATATATACATAAATGAATAAATAAAATTGGTCATTTAGGTGACTGAGAATCATAATTATGGCTCTGTTGTCACATTTACTAGCTGTGTGATTCTGGGCAAGTCACTTAACCCTGTTTACCTCGATTTTCTTATCTGAGAAGGAAATGGCAAACCACTCCAGTATCTTTGCCAAGAAAACCCCAAATGGGGTCGCAGAGAGTTGGACTCAACTGAAATAGTTGAACAACAAGGAGGTGCTAAAGACATACTTGTCTTAGTCTAGTCACTAAGGACCTCAGTGTCCTATAAAATGGGAGGGTTGAACTGTGTTATTTTGTGGTGAAATTTACCTGATTCTGTGATTGTTGCAGTTGAAATGAGCTGCTTCTTCTCTAGATAAAGCTCTGCTAGGGGCCAACTCCAAGGAAAATGAAGAATTATCTCACAAGAAGTGAAATACATAAAAGCCTCCAAGGATCTCTGTCATCTTCCTGTGAAATTGGACATAGCATGCTTTATGGCAAATTGTTAGTAAGAATAATTTTGACACTCTGTAATCAGGAGAAATTCTGAGAGTTAAGAGGAATAAGTAAGAATTCTTTGTCCTGGAGCTGCTTAATTTAGATCTCATCATTAACTAGACTGGAAAGGTCTCATTTTCTAGGATTTGGGAAACAATAGTAATGTAGTAGAAAGAACATGGGTTTCGGAGGAAAAGGATTTGGGTTCAAATCCTACCTTGCACTTTCTGGCTCTTCCCTTCTCATCTGTAAAACAAGTCGGTTAGACTAGATGATATCCAAATGTCTTTTCCAGCTGCAAATTTTATGATTGACAGAATACATTGTCTTCAGTGTTTGTTATTATATAGGACTACATTTGCAACATGAAGATAATGGAAAATTGAAATAGTATCCATCTGGATCATAATAATAGATTTCTCAAGCTTCTGAATTTTTTTTGCATGTTAAAGGGGAACTCTCAGTTCATGATTTCATTAGGGTGTGGAATTCCCAGTGTGGAAACTCCTTCCACAGATGCAGACCAGCAATGTCTAAATTTAGACGTTTGCCTTTGAACACTAATTAGTTGTGACTTGCTCACAGTCATATAAGTAATACTGTACTAGAACCAGGACCTGAACACAGGTCTACTGATTCCAAAGCCAGCCCTCTGTCCACTATGCCCTGCCCTCTCTCAGATCCTGATTAACCTAGAATATTTGCAGATGGTTTTAGGGGACAAATAAGAAAATCTAATTCTCTGACCTCAGACCAGGTCATTCATGTATTTAATGGAGCATGTAAATATTAAATTGTTTACTGCTTTTCCCTCACTGATGCAAGTTTAAGAGGAAGATAGAAGAAAAAATGTAACACATATTTATGTTTTCTACATACTCTCTTTTTGTGAATTATATGCCTCACATTGTCCTGACGATATTGCTGTCTTTTCCTTTTAGGTGGTTTGCTCTACTGGAGATAGAAATCTGTGTTGCCTTAGTATTTTATAAGTATCAATTTAATCTGCTAGATCCTTTTCCAAAACAGGTAAAAAAAATCCAGTTTTTAATTTTTTAATTATTTTAAAATGTTTTATTACTACCATAAATGCAATATTTATAACAAATATTAATTAACCAACTTTCAAACTGTGGAATAAATCTCTAACCAAACCCCCCCAAATCTAGATTATTTACATGTTAATCAGATGGAAAGGGGAAAAATATTACTAGCACAATTTAAGCAAATAAAATAATAAAAATTAATTAAATGGCAAACAAAACATAACACATTTTATCTGTGTCTCCTTCCAGTATGTGGGCACGTCTTAATATTGCTGTTCACCTTTGCTTTCTTTTTGCAATAAGGGGGCAGAGTAGATAGTGTTCACTTGGAATCATGAAAGCTTGCCTCAGACAGTAGCTGTGTGGCTCTAGGCAAGATAACTTAATCTCTCTTAACCTCAATTTCTTTATTTATAGAATGCAGATAAAACTAGCACCTACTTTACAGTGTTAAGATCAAATGAGATAATATTTGTCAAATGTTTTACAAACTTTGAAATGCAATAGATGTTAACAATTATTATTATCATCAACTATTGTCATGAGGGTAGAGATTGGATATTATTAGTAAAGGGAGCTCCTGGGTAAGGGAATTTCCTCTACTGTTTCCTCTACTATTGCAAGTCTTCACTTTCTCTCCAGTTTGGAGTCTTAGAGAGTCACTGAATCCAAGCTTCACAGAACAAATCCCCTTAATAAAAGGATTTGTTCTATAAAACTTGAACTCAGTCAAAGGGCCACACTTTAGGACCCAGAGGCCACATATGGCCTCAAGGCTGCAGGTTTCCCACCCCTGATAGAGTCTAAGAGACTTGCCCAGGGTCACAAAGCCTATGTGTGTCAGAGATAAGACTTGAACCCCAGGCCTTCTTGGCTGTAAAGGCACCTCTGATGGTATGGTGGATAAAATGCTGAACCAGGAGTCAGGAAGACCTGAGTTCAAATCTGGCTTCAGATACTAGCTACGTGACTACTAGACAAGTCATTTAACCTCTATTTGTCTGAGTTTTCTCAATTATAAAATGAGGCTTCTAATTAATAGCTTCTACCTCCCTAGATTGTTGTGAGGATAAAATAAGATAATAATTGTAAAGTGTGTAGCATAATCCCTGGTACATAATAGGTGTTTAATAAATGTTTATTTCCTTCCTTCCCTCTAAAGCCAGTTCCCTAACCAGTACACCACACAGCCTGTCTTGTTATTAGAATTAATGTGTGTGCTGTTATAGTTCAGCTGAGCTAAAGGCCAAGCTGTCTTATTCAATAGTGGGGGCCAAAGTCATGGCCATGAGTGAGGGCAGGGTTGCACCCATAAACTCAGGGAGGAATGACCAAAAACAAGGAGTAGATTCCTCTTACCAAGCTATGCTGTCTAGTCAGAGACAAAGATCAAGCCTTGAAAGAGGGCTTTTCTCTCTTCCCATCAAGGATTCTGAGATCATAAACTTCTTTCTAGGGCCCTCCCTAAATAATGAGGTCCTGAATATCATTCCTGTTCAGAAATAGACTAGAGCTGATTAGCATACCAGGTACAAGTCTTTTCTGGTCATCAGCAATTACAATGACCATGTCAGTGTCAGTGTTCCAAGGAAGTGGCTACCGCTGTCTGTGGTCACATCCTCCAGGCCAACCTGTCCTCCATTCCCGTGAGGTATGGCTCCTGGGGGAATATGTGGCAAGCTCTGTGCAGTGACCTCAAAGGCCATAGGCCATAATCCAAAGTGGCATAATCTAATCTTTGAGCATTGGTGTGAGTCCTGGTGGACCTGATCTCTCTTTACCCCTAGGGATATTGACATTGTCTCAGATTCTGTGTCTTGGAAGTTACCAGGGATGGCCATAATTGATGAGTGCTCATTTATTCCGGGGGGTGCTCTGTCACTCTGGGAAACTTTGTTAAAACTACCTTTGATGCCATCTCCAAAACCATTTGCGACCTAACCCCACACCTGTGTGTACTAAGTATCCCTATCATGAACTCACAGACCGATTTGCAAAGGCTCATACTTGAGTCTGTCCAGAGAACCCAGGCAAATGCTCTGGCTCCCCCGAAAGTGTATGTGTGTGAACACAAAATACAGTAGAAAAAAAGGGGGTGGTGGATCCTTACCTCCCAGGCTCAGCTCCAGTACCACTTCCCAAAAGAGATCGTGTGAGCTTTCCTCATTCTCTCTCCTCTTCCTCAGTTATTAGTGGTCTTCCATCCCATCCCCAATGTTATTTTTACTTATCTGTGTATAGAGACAGGAGGGTGTAGAGAGCCAGTTTCGAAACGAAAAAAATCCAGGTTCTAGTCCTGCTTCTGGCCCATGTGAATGTATATAATCCTGGACAAATCACTTAAGCTCTCAGCTCCCTAGGCAATTCTCTAAGACTAAATATAGAATCGTTACTGATCTCTTTGGTGGAGTAAGTTTCCTCACCCAAGGAATCACTGTACCAATGAAATCACGTGGTTGGTCCTAATGTTATCTGTGTAAATGTTGTTTTTCTTCAGTAACATAGAAATTACTTGAGGAAAGTAGCAGTTTCATTTTTTTCTTTGTGTTTCTTTAATCCTTTACAATGCTTTACACATAGCTAGTACTTCATAACTACTTGTTGAGTGTCATTAGAAGGTACCTAGCAATTGAAAATAACCCTACTAGCCTTAAAATAACATTGCCTTCCAAGTACACTGATGGGTTTTCAGCTACATACAGTTTTATTAGAGCATTAGGGGCAGAGCCAACTTTTACATAGGCAAGCTACCCATTTGACATAAGGGGCACTAAGAAAGCCCCTGTTGCCAAAACAAGTCTCCTTCCTTGTCTAATAGGATCTGAAATTCCAACCTTTGGAATTATCAACGAGTCAAACATAAAAGGCAGGATCATTGTCCTTTGAAGGCCACATTTAAAATGTACATGTATATGTTACCAGGAAAACCTCTAATTGTTTCTTCTTAGCACAGTTTAGTTTATTAGATTGTCTGTTTCCTAGCTTATAAAGAGGTACAGTACATGCCTGTGCAAACTTAGGCTCTCCTATACCAAAGGTGATACCTGATGGGTTGATAATAGCATAGGGAAATGTCATTTGAGGGAAGGGAAAAGGATAGAAAATACATGATATAATTATCTAGGGCAAAAAAAAGCATATGAGTGGTGGATCAGAGAAGTCAGACTCATGATAATAGAATATGTGAGGTGAACCAAAGGTCATTGATGTTAATTATAAAGATTGTAAAGTCTTTGTCAAAAAAACTGAGTACCCATGGGGCATAGGTGGTATTTTCCCCTCTACTTCCAACCAAAGGTAAAAGCTTCACTTATTAAAGTGAATATAGCTGCTTAAGAAGAAGGGATTTGGATATCTGGACCGAGGCTCAATATTTAGGAATGATAGACTCTTGGCCAGGAAGGGAGTATATCTAGTAAGAGGTGGTTTTTAAAAAAAAAAATGCATTTTCCTGAAGTCTTCATATAAATCTTACCAAAAGAGAAGAGTGAGGGAGAAAACTGCCTATTATCTATCTGTAGACCTATCTACCTGTGGATCCCTGAATCAGAGCAAAAGAACAAGAACAAGAGAGAAAAAGATTGGGAGGGCAGGGAGAGAGAAAGAGAAAGAGAAGACCGTATGTCTTTCTTATAAGAGTCAGACAACTTAACTTAAGAGGCCCATAAACCAGAGGACTGGCCCCAGCCATACATTAAATTGTCCACCAGGGCCCAAAGAGGTGCATCTAAATCATGACTCATCCTGCCCCACACCTTTGCCAGAATCCGCCTAACATTGATGCTGGAATTAAAAAAAAAAAAAGAGACAAGCCAAAAGCTGTAGGATCTAAATGTATACCTTCTAAGAAAATAGAAAGCGAATAAAGTTAGACTTAATTGAATTACTTGTTTCCTGAGTTGTTTAAATAATTCCTCTCAATTTCTGTTTTCAGAATTTCAACCAGTTACTGGGTGTCCAGAGGCCATCGACACCATGCCGGGTGGAATATAAATGTAGAAAGTAAAAACTAATTTATCTAAAAACTGGATCAGTACCTAAGCAGCCAGATTCCTGAGGTGTCCTAAAGCCTATGTTGCTGTACTCACTAAGCTAATGTACTACATATCAGGGTATTTTAATTAACTATGTGTAACAAGGTGAATTTTTTGTTTTTATCAATAATTAAATCTAATTAATTATTCACCAAATTATTATTAGTTGAATTGTATCTTAGCAATGGACGAAGTCAATATAAATGTAGTACTAGTTTGACAGAACTGGAAGTGTTTTAGTGAAAATATTAAAAAACAACTTCTAAAAGCAGCTTTTTTATGTATAACATGGTGTGGTATTGATTTACATTGGAATTTTTTTACTTAAATTCTCTGGGATACTTGAAAAAAGCCCACAAAGTATTGTTAAGAAAGAAACTTATCTCAAGTTGTCTTCTGAATAACTGTCAAGTAATGAGAAAGTATTAGAGGCTGCATGGTATAATATGGAGGCCTGACCTTGGATTCAGCAAAACCTGGGTTTAAATCTTGCCTCTGACACATATTAGCTGTATGACCATGGCCCAGTGCCTTATCCTTTCAGTGCCCCAGACAGTTTTCTTAGACTACAAGTCAGTCTGCGTCAGTGAAGGTAATTTCCATTCTAGAAGTTTCCTGTACAATTGAAATCCTAGATCTGAACCAATCCCTGCTTCTCTCTCTCTCTCTCTCTCCTCTTGACCCCCCCCCAGGAGGAACCCTTAATCCTGCATATAGAGCTGGAAGGGAACTTAGTGGTCACCTAGTCCAACCTCATCTTTTACAGATGAGAAGACTGAGGCTCAGAAAGGCTTCACTTAAGTGACTTCTCAAGGTCATGCAGATTAGACGAACAAGAGTTGGAATTTGAAACCAGGTTCTCCAACTCCAAATCTAGCCCTCATTCTGTTGTAGGCAAGTAAGTATCATGGTGCCTAGAGCACTAGATTTAGAGTCAGAAAGACCTGAATTGAGATCTCACCTTACATAATTACCAGCTTTATGATCCTTGGCAAAATCATTAACCAGTGTCTCAGTTTCCCTAACTGCAAAATGGAAATAATATTAGCACCTACTTCGCAGGATTGTGGTGGATTAAGATGAGATAACATACAGAGCTTTGCAAAGCTTAAAGCACTATGTTAATGTTAGCTATTGTTATTATACGTTGTTATCTACTTGGGGAAGCTAGGTGTATAGCAGATAGAGGGCTGGGCCTGGAGTCAGGAAGACTCTTCCTGAATTCAGTTCTGGCCTCAGACAAACTAGTTGTGTGACCCTGGGCAAGTCACTTGACCTTGTTTGCTCCAGTTTCCTCATCTGTAAAAGGAGTTGGAGAAAGAAATGGGAAATCATTCCAATAACTTCGCCAAGAAAACCCCAAATGGGGTCATAAAGAGTTGGACACAACTGAACAACAGCTGTTTACGTGAGTTCAGAGACCTCATCTAACTGCATCTTGTTCCCTTCCTCTTCAGCCAACCTGGAAGTCAGAGCAACCTTTGAGGTGATAGACTTTACCTGTCAGGTTGTGCCAGCTAAAGAAAGAATATTTATGAGTGTTCTCAGCAACCTTTTAAAATTCTAGCAAAACACTTCATTTGCATATGATGGATACCCACTTCAACTAAACTTAAACGAGTTAACCACTTACTGATAATCACACAGTTCATGTGACTAGTTAAAGTGAGAGAAAATTAAAAGTCCATTGAGGGTCATAAGGGAAATGGCCTATCTAGTATTCTTTTTTTTTTTTGTAAGAATAGACATTGGGTAGTCTGCATTTTAGTGAAAGAAAAGGACAGCTTAGGAAACCTGTTCCTTTTGTATTTGACAAACAGTAAGGGAACTCTTTCTGAAATTGGTTCCATTGGCCAGGAGCCATGATTTTTGTTTATAAGGCTACATATGCTTTAAAATAGTTTTTTTTTAAAATTCCTAACTTAATATGGTTTTACTGGAATCTTTTTTGGAAATAGTATGACAATTTCCTCTGATGTTTAAATTAAACCTTTTGACCTGACATCAGAATTAATTCTTCAAGATATGGAAACAATTTCACAAGCTATGAGTTTGCCTCTGCTGGGCAGCTTATTTCCAAATGATAGCTTGATGGCTAAATACCATGTTGTAGGAGTATTGGCCTGAATATAAATTGTACTTTCTCTCCACATAAGGCTTTTGTAAAACTTCAGTGTGGCCTATAGTGACTCCTCTTTTTTCTAGCATGTACCCGAACAAAGGAAAAGCAGAGTAGCACAGTGGATATTGGTCTGGTCTTAGAGTCCAGAAGACATGAGGCAATACCTGCCTCTGACAGCATTCTCTGGGGGATCACAGGCAAGTCACCTGAGCTGGGCAACTCCCTAAGATTCTAAGCTATAGGTGAGTTTCTGATCTGAGTTGGCAAAAGAGCTTTCTGCCTTAGGATTTCTTCACACAGAGGAAAATCAGAGGTTTGGACCAAATAACAACCACCAAAAAAACCCTGTGTGTATGAATGTGTCTATAACATATAGAAATATAATATGTATATGTTATGAATATTGTTCATTGTTATTTAGTAGTTTTCAGTCATGTCTGATTCTTTGTGACCCCATTTGGGTTTTTTTTTTTTTGGCAAAGATATTGGCCATTTCCTTCTCCAGCTCATTTTACAGATGAGGAAATTGAGGCAAATAGTTGAGTGACTTGCCAAGGTCACATAACTGGTAAGTGTCTGAGGCCAGATTTGAATTTAGGTTTTCCTGACTCCAGGCGTGGCATTATATCCATTGCCTTACCTAGCTGCCCCCAAAAGGAGACTAAATGATGTCCCAGGTCCCTTCTAGCTCTGAGTCCAAGAGCCTGTAAGTGCTAGATTTGGAGTTACAAGGCCTGCATTCAAATGTTTCCAGTACATGGATACTAGTTGTATGACCATGGTTCAATCACTTAACCTCTTTGAAATTCAGTTTCTTCATCTCTCAGTTGGGGATGATGATACTTGCACTGATCCCCACTGGGTCATTGTGAGGAAATCCTCATATCTCAAATGATGTTGCCTGATGATGGTTTATGGACACAAAAGACCACAGGGTAAAGAAGGTATGTTTACAGTGGATTCTCACTTTTGAAGGGAAAGGGGTTTCCTGTGCGCTACAAAGATTTATTTCTCAACTCCATGTCTATGAAAAAAGGTATTTAACTGAGTTAGTGATAAGGTTCCCTAAGGGAAATATTGTAATATTTGCACTGAGAGTAGATTCTTCTCTAGGAATCTTACAGATAGCAGAGACATAGTATAAGGGTTGATTGAATGAGATGCCCCTTTGGGTGGCATGGTTTAGGAAGAGACTGTTCTGGAAAAAGGAAAGTACTAATCTCAAATAGTCTCATTTATTTCTTTCTTCCCATTCTGATTTTAATTGAGGTTTTGCACTGGGTTCATGGTTCTGAATATAGACTGAAATATTTGAGTCTGCAAATAGAAACTAAATATTTGAGGGGTGCCTGTGCATGAGTTTGGACAAAAATGAGATCCATACAAAAGTTCAGGATGGAAAGGGAGGCAGGTCTTTGGGTGGTTCAGTGCCTGCAAAGGGTAAGGATTTAAGGAATGGTTGATCTGACCCCTGTGAAGGTCATTAGAGAAAGATTAATAAATCATAGGAAATTTTGTTGATATTTAGAATCATGGAATCACAGAATTTTAGAGTTGGAAAAGACCTATGTCCAACCCATTCTTGAAAAAGAATTCCTTCTATAGCATAACCCAACTATCTTCGCTCAAGTGACAGAAAACTCAGTGACTCTTGATGCAACTCATTTAACTTTTGAATGACTCTAATTGTTGCAGACCTGTTTCTGCTGTTAAGCCTAAATTTACCTTGTTATATCTTAAACCTATTCCCAAGCTGCCCCTCCAACCTTCACCAAACAGAACAAATCTCTTCCATATTAATTTACTTCTATTGTAATTCTTCATGTGTGGTAAGAGTTCAGTAGTCACTTAGATTTGTGTGGGCATGACAAAGCAAGCTTTTATCCCACCAAGCACCAAAAGTGGTAGTGTCTATATGCTTCAATACAGTTAGGGTGATTCTGGTCAAATCATACAGCAGTTACAGAGCATAGTCTAGAGTAGACATATCAAAATGGTACAAGAATGCAATGTGGTTTTAACATTTTATCACTTATGCCTACTAAGAATTGACATCTGAGCAGATAATGGATGTGCTAAATGAAAAAAAATAATTTCTCATATCAGAATTTTATTTTCAGATAATTAGGTAAAATTGCTAAAATATACAACATACTATTTTAGCCAACTGTTTTATCAAAGTTGCTGTTTTTGTTTATTCATGAACAAGATATCTCTTGTAATCATATTGTTGATTAATTTCTGCAGAGGACCAAGGAGTGTCTTAGATGAAGATATAGAAGATCATTTAAAAGTACAATATAATGCAACAAATGCAAATTAAATTCATTTGAACAAGTGAATTCATGTGAATATCATTGCCTAAAATCCAATGAGTCCAACTGGGTTTGATTGACCTGTTTGTCACTAAATCTCTTAATGGGACATTATGAGCAGAGTAGAAGGAAGAGTAATGAAGGAGGAATAAGGAAACCTAGATTCTACTCTTGGCTCTACCATTTACTAATTGTGTTACTTTGGGTAAACCACCTCTCTTCTCTCCGTCTCATTTTCCTCCTCTGTAAAGTGAATAGGTTGGACTAAATCATTCCAATGGTACCTCTTTTCTTTGACCTTCCGATTCTATCATTCACTTACTCTACAAAAGGCATGGAACATTTTTTTTTCATCAGGCCTAATGTTATATTCCTGTTCTGTTCATTAACAACGAAGACAAGTCCTGGCAGAACTCTTTTCCTAGGGCTTGTTTTCTCTGTTTCTAAAAGTAAAGAAAACAAAGGCCCAAAATAATATTCTCAAAAAAAAAAAAAACCAAAAAAAACCACAGTGATTTCCAAAGAAGCTCTGTTGAAGAAAGAGGATATGAATGGCATACAAGAACCTTGCTCTATAAATAAATATGAATTACAGTTCACATTTTCGAGAAAGGGGAGAGGGGAATGAGGACACATAGTCGAGAATACTGGTTTCTTGGCCTGCTGCTAATGTAATTTATTGTACAGCCTAAGGCAAGAAACAAACATTGACTTTATGGTTGCCTGCCTGCTGGTAATCAGCAAGTGGGGTTTTCTTCCATTTCTGACTGTGTGCATCAGGAAAAGAGGGGCAAAGTCCAACTGGAAGATTAACCTCAGGCATAGCTCTTTCTTCTGCAACAGGCAA